TCTGTCTCTCTGTCGCTCTCTCTCTCTCTCTCTCTTGCTCCTGCTGCCTCTACTGCAGCCTCTGCTCTCTCCTCTCGAGTAAAGTCGTCGGTGGGTGGGTACGGTCCGGTACGGTGTGGGCGGTGAGGGTGACGGTGCGACAGTGGGTGTCGGCGTTTACTCCCTCTGGTCACGGTCCGAGTCCCGAGTCCCAAGTCCCGAGTGATGCCTGCGAGTCTACGAGATGCGCAGCACGTGTCTCAAATCAAACGTACACCACTGACCATTGACAGCCAGAGCGCTGAAACAGTGCCGGGCTCTGGCTCCGGCCCCCGCCCTTTTGGTGGCTTTGGCCCATGAGTCAAGTGGATAATGAAATCCAGCCACCGCCGCCGCCGCCACCACACGCAGGCCAGCTGACAATCCAGAGTGCCAGACAATGTTGACAGGACATGATCGGAATCCTCGGCATCCGAATCCCGATGCCGATGCAGCTCAGCAAGGAGGCCCATTACCAGCCCGCCCGGTCGTCCCGCCCGGTCGTCTCGACATCATGTGTCATTACTGTGTCATGTGTCCAGCAATCTAGCAGTGTGACTGTTTGCGTTTTTGCCGGGCTGTTCCAGGCAGTTTGGGTTTGGTGGCGCAGTGGGCACACTGCGCTGAATGCGGCGCGAAGTCCCAATACAGAGCATGTGCGATGCTTTGCTCGATTTACTGCAGGGTGTGGTGGTACACTGATAAGTCACTCATGTGGCCGTTGGCCGCAGCTGTGCGATTACACTCGAGCCGAGGAACACACAACTTTGCACTGACGCGCTTGGGGCACGGGGGGGTCTTCATGATCAGGCGCGAGCCGCGGGCAGATTGCCTGCTTTGGAAGAGCTGGAAATCAGAAATCCCGACAAGTACATCGGATATCTCAAGCAGTTTATGGTCAAGTGTCCTCCGCCGGGCCGCGGAAAGCCTACCAACAAGTTCGACTTCGCGGTGATGGACTACGAGGAAGCGGCCGGCGTGCGAACATCCGACATCCGCGAGTTGTAGGAGATGTGTGAGGAAGACTTCATCACATACTTCTCCACGACTGCGCCCGCCTACCAGCGTGACTTAGCTGATCATAGCTGTACCAAGCTTGTAGACTGTACTCAGTGCCGTCGGGTGGTCGAGTCGAGTCTAGTCTAGGGCTTTGGATTAAAACTTATGCGCTCTGAGGCCTACAACCTTAATTTGGGAGCCTGAGTCCTTCAGCCTTCAGCCCTAACACCAAAACCCTGGACCCTTGACACCCTCGCTCCCAAACCATCCCCAAAACTCCAATAGAACCACACCACACCACACCACACCACAGTGAGGGGCAAACAACCCGCAACCACAGGGGGTTCCACCCCTCCCACCAAGCCCTCCACCCCCACCCTCCGACCCCCCTGCACCGCCACCCCCCTCCTCGAGCGACAGTTAGCGAGAGTGGCGAGTCGAGAGTGTGCAGTGTGCAGATGATACACTGGGCGATTGTGATGTTGTTTGAGCCTTTAGGCCTTTCGGTACAGGGGGCCCAGACCAAGTGGAAGAATGACTTCAAGGAGAAGAAGTACCACCGAGAGCAGCGTGTCGTTCTGGATGAGAGTGGACGGGAGTCAAGCAGACAGGCCGGTATGCAGGTTGCAAAGTTGCAGGCTGCAGATTGCTGGCTTACTTGCAATCAGCAACTTTTGTATGTTTTGGGAAATCAGCCCCTCTAGCCTTTAACATAACCACCCAAACCCTAAAACCTCAACCTGGGGTTTAGTTTGAGATTTATCTACCACCTGGAGTCTTTGTGTAAGGAATACCTGAAGTTTGGGGGTTATATTGACATTTGCTTTATGCACATACATACGGTATATACGTACTGCACATGAGCCTTTCTTGATGGCCACATCAAAATTTTACTTGACAGGCCGATGTTTTGAGAGAGCGTGTAAATATTGGAGCCACACGGCCGTTTAGGGTTTAGGGGTTTAGGGTTTAGGGTCACACCATCAATCATCAAGTTCCTTCCATGGGAACCTATCGCCAACTTCTGTGCCAAGGCCAAAACGTTAAATCACCCAATCGAATCCACATATCTCCAATGTCGTGACAACTGTGAGAGAGTAGCATAGGCATAGTCCCTGCGCTTGCTTCAAGCTTCAACACTCCGCTGTGGAGCACACCCTGCTGCCCTTCAGCTGGCATCTGCCTCGGATGATGATTCTTTGCAGCGCGGCTTTTGGGCAGCACAACCTTTCAAATTGTACAGCGAGCGGACATATACTTCCAAGCAATGCGAGAGGGAAAAAGCACATTGCCTAAGCTTGCATACTCACACTACATACTTAATTACTCACCTACATACATGCACGCATGCATACATAGATTCGTGTGTAGATACTTAACGAGTTCAACAAAGACTCTAGGTGGCGGTAGATAAATCCCAAACTAAACCCTAAATCTTAAATTTTTGTGGGGCAGGAATGTAACTCTATAGTCTTTGTTAGGTTGGGGGGTGGAGGCTGGAGGGTTTACGGGCCCCCATCCTGGCAAAGAGGAGAGCCTCAGGATTTATGTAGATTGTCGAAACTTTATCACTCTACTGACCGGCTTGTTGAGGGTGGGTTCAGAGGAGCTGATGTTAAGTGGCTGGTTTGCCGATTGATGATCTTGATGCTTGTCCGAATCGGTATTGTCCATTCGAGTCCGTTGGTCGCCCAATCCTTTTTTCATTTACGATGATCGGTCCGTGTCTATCCGAATCGATATTGTCCATTCGGATTGATGCTCGTCCGAATCGATATTGTCCATTCGAGTCCGTTGGTCGCCCAATCCTTTTTTCATTTACGATGATCGGTCCGTGTCTATCCGAATCGATATTGTCCATTCGGATTGATGCTCGTCCGAATCGATATTGTCCATTCGAGTCCGTTGGTCGCCCAATCCTTTTTTCATTTACGATGATCGGTCCGTGTCCATCCGAATCGATATTGTCCATTCGGATTGATGAATCGATATTGTCCATTCGAGTCCGCCCAATCGATATTGTCGATATTGTCCATTCGAGTCTCGTTTATTGTTCGCCCAATCCTTTTTCATTTACGATGATCGGTCCGTGTCCATCCGAATCGATATTGTCCATTCGGATTGATGCTCGTCCGAATCGATATTGTCCATTCGAGTCCGTTGGTCGCCCAATCCTTTTTTCATTTACGATGATCGGTCCGTGTCCATCCGAATCGATATTGTCCATTCGGATTGATGCTCGTCCGAATCGATATTGTCCATTCGAGTCCGTTGGTCGCCCAATCCCAATCCTTTGCTCATTTACGATGGTCGGCAATGATCGGTCCGTATCCATCCGAATCGATACTGTCCATTCCAATTGAGGTTTGTCAGCTTGTCCGAATCGATATTGTCCATTCGAATCCGTTGGTCGCCCAATCCTTCTTTGCATTTACGATGAACGGTCCGTGTCCATCCGAATCGATATTGTCCATTCGGATTGATGCTCGTCCGAGTCGATATTGTCCATTCGAATCCGTTGGTCGCCCAATCCCTCTTTGCATTTACGATGAACGGTCCGTGTCCATCCAAATTGATATTGTCCATTCGGATTGATGCTCGTCCGAATCGGTATTGTCCATTCGAATCCGTTGGTCGCCCAATCCTTCTTTGCATTTACGATGAACGGTCCGTGTCCATCCGAATCGATATTGTCCATTCGGATTGATGCTCGTCCGAATCGATATTGTCCATTCGAATCCGTTGGTCGCCCAATCCTTCTTTGCATTTACGATGAACGGTCCGTGTCCATCCGAATCGATATTGTCCATTCGGATTGATGCTCGTCCGAATCGATATTGTCCATTCGAATCCGTTGGTTGCCCAATCCTTCTTTGCATTTACGATGAACGGTCCGTGTCCATCCGAATCGATATTGTCCATTCGGATTGATGCTCGTCCGAGTCGATATTGTCCATTCGAATCCGTTGGTCGCCCAATCCCTCTTTGCATTTACGATGAACGGTCCGTGTCCATCCAAATTGATATTGTCCATTCGGATTGATGCTCGTCCGAATCGATATTGTCCATTCGAATCCGTTGGTCGCCCAATCCTTCTTTGCATTTACGATGAACGGTCCGTGTCCATCCGAAATCGATATGTCCTTCGGATTGATGCTCGTCCGAATCGATATTGTTCCGTTCGAATCCGTATGGTCGCCCAATCCTTCTTTGCATTTCGATGAAAACGGTCCGTGTCCGATCCGAATCGGGGGGATTTGTCATTCGGATTGTGCTCGTCCGAATCGTATTGTCCATTCGAACCGTGGTCGCCCCTCTTCTTTGCATTTACGATGAACGGTCCGTGTCCAATCCGACGATATTGTCACATTCTCGGATTGAATGCTCGTTCGAATCGAATTGTCCATTCGAATCCGTTGGTCGCCCAATCCTTCTTTGTCATTTTAACGATGAAGGTCCGTTCCATCCGAATCGATATTTCCATTCGGACTTGATGCTCGTCCAATCGATATGTCCAATTCGAAAGAAACAAAACAAAGAAAAGTAAAAAATAAAAAAACGAAAGAATCCGTTGGTCGCCCAATCCTTCTTTGCATTTACGATGAACGGTCCGTGTCCATCCGAATCGATATTGTCCATTCGGATTGATGCTCGTCCGAATCGATATTGTCCGTTCGAATCCGTTGGTCGCCCAATCCTTCTTTGCATTTACGATGAACGGTCCGTGTCCATCCGAATCGATATTGTCCATTCGGATTGATGCTCGTCCGAATCGGAATTTCCTATTTCTAATCCGTTGTCTCCCATCCTTCTTGCATTTACTAGGACGTGCCGTGTGCCATCCGAATCGATTATTTGTCCATTCTGATTGAATGCCGCCGAATCGATATTTGTCCATTCGAATCCGTTGGTCGCCCAATTCCCTCTTGCATTTCCGATGAACGTCCTGTCCAAATCCGAATCGATATTGTCCATTCGGATTGATGCTCGTCCGAATCGATATTGTCCATTCGAATCCGTTGGTCGCCCAATCCTTCTTTGCATTTACGATGGACGGTCCGTGTCCATCCGAATCGATATTGTCCATTCGAATCTATTGACGGCCGATTGATGATGCTTGATGCTTGCCAGTGATGAGGCGATGCTAATGATGAATACCTCCTAAAACCAGCACGCCCGGCCGCCCGCCCCAAACTAATCCCATATAGACTATACTATATAGACCCTAAACCTTAAAACCCCCGAAGCCATCGACCCTAACCACGATCGCAGGTGTGGGTGATGTTTGTTCCGGTGCCAAAGAAGATTCAGAGCGAAGTGTACAAGGATATCTGCGCCTGGTCCGCTTTGTTATCTGTTGTGTGTGTTGAACTGATGAATCTGGTTGGCTGCATCTAGGGTGTGCAGTGAGTGCAGTGCAGTGAGTGCAATCCTGTAAGTTTGGTGCGTTGCCCAATTGTGTCTTCTGTGTAAGCTCTTTTCCACTTTGCCTGGCAGGACGCAGCTCACAAGCTTCGAGCTCAGCAAGAGATGGTGAAGGCGCCTTCCGACCTGGCTCTAGACAAGTTGCGGCAGAAGAAGGTTGAAGCTGTGAAAGCTCTGATGGATGACCCAACTGAGTTTGGGTTGAAAGTTCGCGCCCCGTAACTCATCTCGAGTGTTCATTTGCACAGCTGCACAACGTTGCAATTGCAATCGGGCGTTTGTTATGTAGCTCATTGAAATTGGTATTGCTAATAGCCAATTGCCAAGGTCATGATCTTCCTACTACGTCGACGTCGTCATCAGCTTGGCCAACCGGTCGCAACAGCAGGGGATCTGTAACTTCTGATGCCTCCGCCAAAGCCAGTGCGAAAGCAAAAGGAAAGAATGCTAAGAATGCGGTCAAGAACTTGTTGGTACAAGTCTCCCAAGCTCGGAAGGGACCACTGAAAGATTTCAACGATGCAGAACGTTCCTTGTCGAACGGCTTGAAGGACGCCGACAAATGCATCAAAGAGGCACATCCATTGAGCCAAGAATCAGAGTAACGACTGTCAAAGTTCAACTTCCTCAACACCAATCCTGGGCAGGCCCTCACGTTCTATCAGCAGCTCGATACAGCCGCTGCCAAGAGTGACGAAGCTTTGCAGCTGGTCATTGCCAGACGGGAACTGGTATCTCCGATGCACATGTATCGTTCGCATGAGTATCCTATGTTTGGTCATGTTGTGACACTGTGACACATTTCACTCCCGCCCCCCCGAGATGAGCCGAGCCTTGATCCCAGGTTGACGTTTTGAAGAATGAGAAGACAATGAGCCAGGACACTGCTGAGAAGCTGTCAACAATGCGGTCTCGTGATGCTTTTTTGCCGAGATGGAAACCCCAATGGAGTGTGTGAAACCCCATGCCGCATCTGGTCGGGAATGCATAATTCTAGAGAGCCAGTTTGAGTTTGGGTTGGGTTCGACTGACCTAGATTTTTGATACGAGGTTCTTCTTCAAGACCGCAACGACCTCGACTTCGTGGCCAATGCTGAGATCCTTGATGGCTCGGTCGATGCACATAGGTCATCCATTGATGCGTTAAAGAAGGCTGGAAAGGCAGTAGAATGGATCGGGAACAAAGGAGCCCTGAAGAAGGCACAGGATCTCGAACAGAAAGAACAGCTGAAGGAGCAGTCGCGGTGCAATGTAGAGTCATTAGGTTTGTAGGGTAGGATTTGGAATTCGGAACTTGGTGACACTGTGTCAAACATATTATGTGCAGTCGCGGCGTCACAAATTGCAAGTTGCAGGCAAGTTACAGTTGCGCGCAGGATGTAAGTAAGTATGTAAGTGGTCAGGCCTATTACAGTCCACCGTCGAAAACGAGTGGCCACTGTCCCAGTCCAACTGCAACCCGACCCAATCCTAAAGTCTATGCATTCCTTCAAAAACCTAAAGCTTTATTCTTAAGGCAAAACATACTATAGCCCCATAAACTTTGAATCCCTGAACTCCCTGAATCCCGCCTCGTGCGGTGCAGGCCAGATTGAAAAGGCTTGCGGACAAAGATGCAAAAGCCGAGGCAAGAGCCCAGGCCAAAGAAGACCGTGCAGCAGCCGCGGCTGAGGCGGCTGCAAAAAAATCAAAGGATGCAGATGCGCAAGGCGATGATGTCCCCGATGATGGGAATGGGAAGTCATCCAAGTCAAAGACGAGCCGGCTTGGAAGGGCAATGGCTTCGGAACTGACGGACGCTGATCCGGCAGTGCTGAGGAATCGCCGCCAGGCAATCGAAAACCTTGATCCCGGTGCCGTTGTGGAAGCTTTCGCATATGGACTTCCAGCCCTTGTCAAGACAAAATCAGTCATCAAGAAGATTGCGATGCAGGTTTCGCAGTTTCAACTTTGCTTTGACTGTGTTGGTACGTAAGTTGTGAGTGGTGAGTTGTGAGTGTGAGCATAATCTGATCCCTGAGCCTGGGCCCAGCGGCTCAGCCGCCGTCTCCGACAAGAATGCTGGTGCTGCTTTGAACATCTATAGGTCGGCGATGACGGATTTCCAAACTTCGTTGATTGCAGACCTCGAGGCATATGGCTGCCAATGCTGCCATCGTTGAATAGAGTCTCAGCCATTTAATCTTTTGCAACCGAATCCCATAAGGCCTTTGAGCTTGAGCACTGACAAACCGTAGTCTTGTAGTCATGCTCATTTCTTGTATTTCTTGTGTTTGTAATGCTGCGCAGTTCTGTCACATGGAGGCGCGATCGGAGAAGAGCCGCCTGCAACAGATTGTCGATGACGCACCGCTTCCGGAAAAGCTGTCATTGTCGAGCCAGATCAAGGCGACGGAGGAGATGTTCCGACAGGCAGCTGGCATTCGGCATGGTCGAGTCGAAGGTGCTTTTGCATCAGCTGCTTCAAGTCATTAAAATAGGTGTAAACCTTAAAGACGCCACTCGGTGTCGGATCGAGTCGGATGCATCCCGAATAGATGCAAGACCCTCGAAAAGTATCACCACTAAGCTAAGTATTACCACTAAGCTGGCTTCCGCATAAAAACCTTAAACCCTTGCACACCGTGCTTTTGGTTGCTGCAGAGATGGGCAATGGCTCGTACTTGTTCTGGCACCGCTGTCTCATAGGATGGCGAACCTGTACATGGACTGTCACTCGCCGTGTTTGCTTTTCGGGATCTGGGATGGACTCGCAGTGTCTTACCTTCAGGATCAGCGCTGGACGATGTTGAGAGTCTGGCACTGGTATGGCTCCTGTTGCGGTTTACGTCACACCAGGCCCGCCACACTACCGTGGGTTGAAGGCGGCTGGTGAGCTGCTCATCCTTGCACTGACAAAGCGAGGTGGTAACTGATCGAAAGCGAAATGGGTTGCAGCAGCAGCGTTAAACTGCTACGGGCAACCACTCCGCAACAGCGATCAGAAGTCCAGTACAGCCAGCCGAACTCGGTGTACAACCAAGTACGCAGACACCCGACGTCCGGAAGGTTATGGAGTTGCGCTGTGGGTGTGGCAGTTTACGGGACTTTGCCGCAGGCACCTGCAAACCGGAAGGTTTGCCTGGCGTTGTAGCGGTAACAACGGTGTGTGATGCCTCGCCCATGGGCGGGCCTTTGCTGTCAGTGGGCGCAACTGCATGAGTGCACAAACGCTCCTGGGAGTGCGAAAGGACCCAGGCTTGTGGCCGGAAAGGGTAGAGTGTGAAGGGAACACGTCCTCCAGCCGTACTGAGAGCGTTCTTAAGAGAGTCTGGTATGTTGGTTTCACCTCAGTCTTCACGTAGGCAGTCTTCAAGTAGGCGGTTACCTGGCTTTCAGACAGCTGTTATCCTTGATAGCTGCACTTTCGGATGTTACGATTGTCGCTGTCCGAATGCCAGTGACTGCTGTCGTAAACCCGCGCCTATAGAGAGGCGCTGGACAGTCAGCGCGCACTGCTCGTTGCAGACGTGTAGAACGACTTTTGTGTCTGATACAGATGCTGTCACTGAGTATGGTATAGCCCACTCTGTCTTTTTGTTAGGCCTTGTCTCTTTGGTCCGGTTGTTGCTCGAGCTGGCAGCTTTTCCCTGTTTGGAGAGGTGGCTAGCAATGGCAGATTGACAGCACCTAGTCAGCCGTCTCAAGGAAGGCGGCTTCTCTTTTGGGCAGCTTCGAGTCGGGGTCCTACGTGGCCTTAACTTCTTGTTGGCTCTTGTCTTTCTCGGCCCGACTCGATGCCGTCCCCTCATTCCGACCTACGCACCAAGAACCTCGTTTGGCTGTGTCCGAGTGCGAGAGCGTAATCCCAAACCCGCTAAGCCCTATGTCGAGCTCAGGTTCAGACTCATGATTGTTGATATTTTGACCTGACAGGCGCTTCGAGAGAAGGGAAAAAAACGAACATGAGGTTGTGCGCCAGCAGTTTGGCAACGGCAGAGATGTGTACGAGGCCTTGCGGACGGCCTTGGGCGATGAAGCGACTGCCAACCTGGCTCAGATAGTGATATCTGGGTGCAGGCAAAACTGCGTGTATACAGGGCTCAACTCCGGCCCTGGATTAGCATCCGTACAATACCAGCACTCGGGTGCTCGATTGATCAGCTTTGCAAATTTCGCTGAACTGGTGGACGTCTTTCAGACAAGCAGCTACAGCGATGTACTCGAACGCTTCAGAAACGTGACTTCGGACGAAGCAGATCAGATGGTAACGCCGAAGCAGGCTGCTGTTCGACCAGGAGAGATGATTGTGTTGCCAGATGGAATCCTGTACACCGAGAAAGCGCTCACTGCACACTCCGTGGCGTTGAAGGTGAGGGACCAGGGATGACAAAACCACGAGAGACGAGACGAGATCATTGTTTAAGCTTAAGTAGAAGCGTCCGTAAGTTGAGAACCTTGCACATCTTTGCAAAACGATAAGATTCAACAAAACATGTGCTACAAAGTCATCCAAAGTCCTGCAGAAGTAGAAGTGCAAAACAACGATGACGATAACCAATTAACTGGTTTGGGTTTTCCACACACGTGCACCCCTCAGGTACCATCGTTCTTCGTGACGGTGCGTGGATTTCCAGGGCTCCAGAAGTTGAAAGACGTGTTCACAGAGTATCTTGGTTGGCAAATTTCTTCTTCATCCAAGGTCCATACACACGCAAATATCCCGACATGTCGACGTGATGTTCCGTCCGAGGCACATTGCGCTGGTCGAGCTATGCAAGGCTTGCGATCACATTCTTTCTGAAACGCGGTGGATAGAGGCCGTTCGTGACATTCGTGTCATGTGTGTTGGCAACTGGCGTCGAACTAATCCAATGCTTAAACACAGAGGACCGTGCAGACGCAGCATCGTCCCATGAGCATGACACCGACTGGTCGGCTGCTGCTACCTTGGACTTGGCCAAGCAAAAGCAGGAGAACTGTGTCACGCTGTCGTCTGTTGTATGATGCAAGTCGTAGCCTGCGTCACAGTTTCACAGTTGACATCGTCTTGGTCATCACCTGTGAAACATGCGACTTGTTTTGATACAAGCCTGCTGACTCTTGATGTCGACAGGATCACAACGGTGGCGGTGGTAACGGCGACGACCTCAACCAGAAGGACCGATGCCAAGCATGCATCGATGCCTTTCCCCGTGGATGATTTGTGTATTGTGTTGCAGTTGCAGTCTGCCGTGATGCCTCAAGCGAACATGTTTATCTGCTTCATGTTGTGTTGCAGTCGAAGCAACTGACCAGTGACCAGGTCCAGGAAAGACCCGCAGAGATGCCGGTAAAGCGTTATGGTGTAGATGGTGTGGCGAGCGATAAACCTGAGCAGGTAGGGGCCTCTTGCGCATCTCTGGATAACGAGAGGCGAGAGACGGCCATACCATCCGTGTCCGTGTTATGTTCAGTTAATTCAGTTAATTACGCCGTCATGCAATTTCACGGTTGTTTCCCAACCCTCCTGGTCCTAGTCCTGGTGACAGGATGATGGCGGCGGCACCAGCGCCGACAACTCCAAGACAGAAACAGCCCTTCGTCATCACATGAGCATGTTGTCGGTCTCGCTGCTTGTGTTGGAATAACGAAAGAGTCGCCAAAAAAAATCCTAACTCCTAAGCCATAAAGCCTAAACCCAAATCCAAATAAACCCTCAACCAGAAAACCCTAAACCACGCCAGTGCCAACAGGATAACAACTACAAGATGTCTGCACCTGCATCGGCGCCGGATGCTATCCAGGTTGACCGTGCTTTGTGTGTGTGTGTGTGTGTGACTCTGTGTCTCTGTGTGTGTGTGTGTTGATTCAGTGTTGACGTGGACGAGCATGCCTGACGAATGCTGTTTCCCTGCCAAACCACCTGCTAATGCTGCGCTGATGCTGTTGATAGCAACAGGATGGCATTGGTCGAGCTGGTGCTGCCGAGAATGAAAAGCAGGATGGCGACACCGGCAACAACGACAACAACGGCAATATGTTTGCGCATGCATCGGCATCGGTCGCTATCCAGGTGGACTGTGCTGTGCTTGTTGTGTCTCTCTCTCTCGCTGTGTTGATGTGGGCGAGCATACGTCATGCATGTTGTTTCCTTGCCAAACCGCCTGCTGATGCTACACTGCTGTTCTTGCAGCAGGATGGCATTGTTCGAGCTGATGCTGCGAATGGACCAGAAGCTTCCGACAGTCGCAAGAATACCAAGGACATGATCGTCTCACTCATTCATGAGTTTAATGTCTAACGTTGCAGTGACCATTGAATCAGTGAATGCATGTGTTTCCATGTTTCATGGTTTTGTCGATCTGTCGAGCCAGGCCAATAGGATCACGACATCGAGCAGGCCTTGCAGGCAGCTGTCCAGGAAACGGCGGTGGATGAAGCTTGCCTTTATCTTTTGTAACTGCGCAATCCTGTGTTATTCTATTCTGTGATGTTGATGCTGTTGAGTTTTGATCAATAGGATGGCCCAACTGTTCTGGCAGCCCGAACTGATGCCGAGACGGTCGGGAATGGACCGAAAGCTTCCGAAAGTGCGGAGGCTGCGGGGGACACGAGCGTCGAGTTTTTCGAAGTTTGCAGTCTTGCTGTGACCGTTGAATCAGTGAATGCTTGTGTTCTATATGTGTGTATACATGTGCATGTACCTTTTTGGCTGTTGAAACTTTTGCTGATGTCAACAGGATGGAAGGATTCAACCACCGGCAACCCAACCTGATGCTGAGAATGGACCGAAAGCTTCGGACAGTGCGCGTGCACAGCACCTGAACGTCTAGAGAGTTGTGTATATCTGTTGGATTGAAGCAGCTGCTGTTGCCAACAGGATGGCAACAACGATCATGCCGCGGATGGCGACGAGGATCAGGCAACCCAAGTCAAGACGTATGACGTATGTACGACTGAAATTATGTCAAACAGCGAAACATGTTGCATCCATAGCCATGCCCAGGAGCCGACCGAACCTGTCCTGAAGAAGCAGAAGCAGTCGCAGGCTACACCGGTGGCATCGACGGTTCCTGAGATTCCTGAGCCTGAGGCCACGCAGGAACGTGTTTTTTGTGTAGCAGTGAATAGTAATTAGGCATACATTGTAGGTCACAACAACTACCAATGCCAACAGGATGGCCATCGCGACCTGGTAGCGGATGCGGAGAAGGCTGAGAAGCAGCGCTTGAACAGCATGAAGCTGCAGCAGCTCAGGCTTGAGTTTGACAAATGATCGATCGACGAGACTACAAAGAAGACGATGCGGACGGCCAATAAGAGCATCGTCGTAGACAAGCTTTTGTCATTGTTCAGAGAGAGCAATTCCAACAGGCCGATACAGTCGTTTTTTAAGCCGACTGCGTCGCCTGTGGAGCCTGTGGAGGTTGCAGATGCTGAACAGCATCCCAAGAGAGTTCGGCTTGCGTAGAGAAGTGCAGAGTGCAGACCAACGCAAGACGAACGCCGAATGGTGTGGAAAAAGCGCCGCCCGGCCCTGTGACACTGCATTCGAAGTGCGTCACACACACCCACACACATGCGCATGCACGTAGATGTACACGTACATGCACACATACACGTTTACACCGACATATGTACATTCATACACCTCATGTACATATATGCGCGCGTACATACATACAGGCATACATGCATGCACACATACATACAACATAGACACAGAGACGGACGGACGGAGAGACAGAAAGACGGAGAGACAGATTGACAGAGACTTTTGTGCTCCGCACTGCGCCTCCCTGATGTTATTTTTTGGTGTGGACAGTCCGCCTCGCTCTATACTGGGCTTGCCCGAATGCTTAAGATTCTCAGCGAGTTCTGCGAACAGTTTTCAGTAAGGTAGCCTCAGTCAGCATACATTCATTCGACAGCTGTTGCAGCCCAGTCTTACTGGATTTCAGATTGGAGATTTGAGTACATAGATGTAATACACATATATTTATATAGGAACTGGTTTTCCCACATTTTCAATTTGCGAATATTCTCTGAAGAACTGTTTCGAACTGTGGAGTTGACTCGAGCCTCAACCCTAGAGTACGAGGGAAACGACAGTGCCAATTTTCGGTTCAGCCCAGTCATTCTCCAGGACAAACTTTGTGTTTAAATTTCTCGGTAATCAGAAGGCATGTGATATGCATTCTTCGATTTTCCGGTATTTCGGACGAGCGTCTAAATGAGCAATGCCGTGCTGTAATGCCATGTCACCATTCCAGAAGTTTTAAACACTAAAACACATGACCAGAAAATACCGACCCGCTCCAAAAAATAACTTCCCGACCGACGCCTTGATTATGAAATTAGCCACACTGAGCAATGTCAGTCCTACATGTAGCCGGCCAGGCCTTAGCCGCCGCGGACCCAGGGGGCACCGCCTGGCGCCCCAGTGGGACATTCCGGGACGGCAACACAACTCGTGGCCGTTTGTTGAGGATTGAGTCATTGGCCGTGCATGCATTGCATTCGGAGAGATCTGCTGTGGACAAAGGGGGCAAGCATGCTTCATTTGTTTCAATCAGATTTCAGCCTGTGCGAGCATGGCCCAAGGATCATTGAAACCTAGCGTCGGCGTGCATGACCCGAGTCGTAGATAAATATAATCCAGGGCGAGGGTGCGTGGGTCCATGGATGTTTTTGTGTTTGCGGAAGACATTCGGTGTTGAAGCACTTTGAAAGCAGCATGGGGTTGGGGCGGAATAAGTACCCTTGGCATCCCTTGGCGACCTGGGTACGGGATCGGACTCGCTGAGGATCTGATGTTGCATGTGTCTCTCATGAGGGGCCGCGGCGTCTCCTTGCCGCTACGTGCTGAGGAAACCGTGGAGATATTGACCGAGCGGACACAGGCAGCGCTTGGAGTCGGGGCAGGGCGGCTGTACATGGCAGATACTGGTGCCGTGTTGACTGCATGTGGCTCCCTCAAGAATGGCGATTCGTTGACCTTGCATGTCCAGCCCACTTTGGTGGCGTCCTGTGCGGAAGACCTTGCAATCCTCCGCAGCGGTTCCATGTGGGTGCAGGGGCGCGAGGTGGCCTCTGGTGTCCAGCGAGTCCAATCGACGTCTAATGCTTTCGCTGGTATCAAGGACGACGGATCTGTGGTGACGTGGGGGCTCGCGGCTTTGGTGGCGACAGCAGTGCCATGAGAGATCAGCTGAGGGATGTGACTCAAATCCAATCTACCACCTCAGCCTTTGCGGCGATCCGCAAGGATGGCTCCGTAGTGACGTGGGGCCGGCCAAGCTGTGGTGGTGACAGTACAGGAGTGCAGGATCAATTGAATGGCGTGGCCCACATCCAGGGCAATAATGGTGCCTTTGCTTTTCTCCGGACGGATGGCTCCGTCGTGACGTGGGGTGCTTTGTGGAGTGGCGCCGACAGCAGTGGCGTGCAGCATCGACTGAGCAAGGTGTCGCAGCTCCAATGCACCTTCCTTGGAGCCTGGGCTGCCATCTTAGCCGATGGCTCCGTGGTGACCTGGGGCGACGCTCGCAAGGGTGGGGACAGTAGCGGCGTGCAGCCGCTACTGGTACAAGTGCACAGTATTGCGGCCAACCACAGAGCGTTTGCTGCAATCAAGGATGACGGCTCGGTCGTGACCTGGGGATCTGCGGATGCGGGCGGCGACAGCACATCCGTGCAGCACCAGGAGATACAGCGGAGTGAGACAGCATTTGCCGCTCTCCGGCAAGACGGCTGCGTTGTCAGCTGGGGGTCGGGTGTCGACGACAGCATAGATCAGGAGCGAATTCAGAACTTGCGGGCGATACAAGCCACAACAGGGGCCTTCGCTGCTCTTCTGACAGATGACTCCGTGCTGTGCTGGGGCTGTCACCTGCCTGACGGTGTTCCTGCGTCTCTGCGGGGAGTGCAAGAAATCCACACCGGCCCGTATGCCTTTGCAGCTGTTAGGGCTGATGGATCCATGGTCACGTGGGGCGTGCCGGATTTGGACGCCTGCCCGCAGGCAGGCGTGCAGTATGTGCAGGCGGCCCAAGATAAGGACATCTTCTTATAGCTATTCTCGAGGACGGATCTGTTGTCCAGATATCCAGTCCCTGCGGCCTGCTCGTAAATGCTGTTAACCTTGGCAAACCCTTGACTCCTAAACTTCGTTGCTGACGCCTTACGAAGAGAAAGAGAGCATGCTCCGACGCTTGCAATCCAAGGAAGAGCAGACTTGGGATGTAGCGCGCCAGGCGTCATCCGCCACCGACCAACGGGGGCACCGCCTGGCGCCCAAGTTGGGATCATTTGCGCATTCCGGGACGGCAACACAACTCGTGGCCGTTTGTTGTGGCTCGTGAACTTAGATCTTTCTCGGCTGGATGCTATATTGTGCTAGACTGCCCCACCCTCCCCAACACTTCTACATATGTCAACGAGTTGCAAGTCTGGGATATCCCTTCTAAAAGAACCCTCCATAGAGGTTCTAGACCGAGCAGCCCCTTACACCCTCGGCCCGAGATCCGAGCCCGTCGGGCTCTCTCGCGGGGGGGTGCGGGCCGCCTCTCATCGGTGTCGGAGGATCCTCCCTGTATGAACAAAGCAGTTGCTGGCTGTTGCGGAGGCTTGGAATCGTTCTCCGCATTCAGTAAACCCCATAAAGTTGGAAACCAGATTAAGGCCAGATAGTGCTGGGATTCCCGATATATGACTCTTAAAGATTCAGGCTATAGGGTTTCCAACTTTTGCGCTTTTACTGTTCTTGAAAGGCACTGTTAAGGATTTGCTTCGGAGGCATTTTGGGGTGGTATAGGATTTGGGTGGCAACAACACTACCCCTGAGGGCAAATGCCTGCTTTCGAGAGCGCTGCAGCGTCTAGGGTTAGTGAGCGCAATGCCTCTTTATTTATTCAGCAATAGAGTTTATGTACTCAAAAATATGCTTCTTACTTCGATGGAAGCAAATTCTGTCCGTACATACATCGAAGATGCAAATCCTACGCATGGAACACTTTGCATGGCACCCACAACCGATAGTAGGGTTCCGTGTTCCAGGGCAAACTGAACCCGCAACCCTTCAGCTTAAACCCCTCGGTTGGTGCCTGAGGATGACCCCTAAACCCCACACCCCAACCCCCTTGACCCTACTTGGAGGTTCCTGGGTAGTTATAAGTGGGGTTATCAGTCCCCTAAAAAGGGTGATAACTATATTTAATTATCCTATACTTACAACCCCACTTAGAACTACACATGAACCTCCAAGTAGGCCCTAAACCCTATATACCCTTACAGAATCCC